CCGCCAATCATCACCGCGGCCGACGAAGATGGGCGGGATTCAGGTCACGGTGACATGCGGGTCGGATGCAGCCACACAGGCGGCATTGATGGGCCAGGCTTTGAACAAAGTGCGCCATAAAAAGGAAAGCTGTGTGCACGACCGCTCAGTCTCTGAAGATGGGTAGAAGAAACGACTACTCGAAACGTCAGACCTCAAATACACCTCTCCCGGTGAACGCCTCCTCTTCTTTTGATAGTCGTATAGCCTTAAGCCCTTAAGGCTCGCCTGGCCGAAGGCGAACTCAGCATGTGCGGTCACACCGGCTGCGTCGCGTTACAGCGGCAAAACAGAGACGTTCTTAATTGCCAGATTCGTCACCACACCCTCCTCCCTTTCCTAAACCCCTGATCTCTGAACGCCCTCAGCCCTCTCCCCCATATTTACTGTTTATTGGCTGTTTGAATTTCTGCTACTCTACCCTCTCTTACATTACTGTACAGGCCCGATGATGAGTAATCCAAAGCGTTTGTTTGCCGAAGTCGGCTGCCAAGAAGAAAAAGTAGTTGGTCCTGAGGACAACTGCGGGGAGTGAGTGGGTGAGAATTTTCGTGCGTCATTGAATGGCCAGCTCAGTAAAAGAAATGGCTGTATGATTTCTGTGTGGAAAAGAGGACGTGAGCAAGATTTGCGATTGGAAGAAACACTATTCCGCTGCAGCGGTGAACGCTGAAAAAGAATAGGCCTCAAACACTACTTCACAGGAAATGACTACAAACTTAAGGAGAATTCGGAATGGGGAAAAGTGCAGAACCAGAAAACGTGAGGACTCAATCCGCGCATATGAGCTAAATTCCAGATCTTCCCGAGGAGACGCTGTCCCCGAGAGACCTAGAAGTGGTCGAACAGGTCTATAGCTTAATTAAATTAAATCCTACGAAGACCAATCCTATAGAGGTATGCTTTCAGAGGTAAGGGGAGTCACTGAGTCTTCCGCGGCGACTGGCTCCGCATCCATTGAGAGCAGGCCTGTGTGGCCCAATAAGGCCATAGGGGCTGCACGATTTCTATTTATTACCGCAGAATGAAAATATGAAAAGTAGCCGAAAATGCGCAGTTTGCGACCCCATTTTCATTGTCGGCTGATATGACTCTTCCGCGGTCGTTCTTAGAAGAAGGGTGGCACAAACCACTAGAATTAATTACCAACCAGTTTAATCGCTGGCTGTAGGCAGAAAGCATTGAAATAATCATTGTCCTAACGAGGATACTTTTCCTCCGTCAGTTGGTTTGACTCGCTGATGCAAAAGGTCCTGTATTTTGCAGACAGACCCCGTGCATCGCAGGAACAAATAAATCTTACACCTAGTCATCACTATGAGTGATAGGCCTCTATATGGACATCACACAAGTGCATTTTGGCTTTAACCTCGCCTCTTAACTGGCTTATAAGATATTAATGACTTAAGGAAGCGTGGATTTGCTGCGACTTCAAGCATTCTTAGCTACTCCATTTTTGAGTTTGATTACCCAGTAGGACGAGGGAAGAGATAAATAGTGGGATAGGTGGCCAAAGGAAGAACGCAAAACCACACCTCAGTTTGTGCGATTCTACAGAATGAAGCCGGTTTACTGCTTTGTTTTACTTCCAGGGAAATTAATACACGGATGTCGGGTAAATTTTCGAGACCTGGTCTGGGGAACGTTGCCCGAAAGGACTTGTTTCGGTTTGCTTCTTAGTTTTCTCGGAAATGAAAGCAGGCAGCATTAAGACTGGAGTTTATATGCCAGAAAACAAATGGGGCACGTTGGGTCACCCACTAATTTCCCTGAAATATACTGATACTGAACCCCCTCGCACTTGCGTTAAGCAGCAGCAGCAGCAGCAGCAGCAGCAAAAGATCGACTATTCATACGTGACTGGGCTTTACGTTAGTTTCAGTGCCGTCGGTTTGGCAAATGATTCGGAAATTTGTTGACGTGTTGCACGCATCAGACAGACCAACTAAGATGACGCCATTACAATATGCGTATTCACTCTGAATAGTCACAGTCACGTAGACCGAAAGAATACTTATTATCAACTCTGCTTATTTTTAGACACTTCTAAACTGCCATACAGTGGATGTTGTTCTCGTATTAGGCAAGCCAATCGGTAGAGAACTTCACAGGCCCCTGTGAAAAACTCTTGCGAAATTTCGCTTCGGCAATCGCCTAGATGATGGCGACGATAAGAGCGGGGATCGGTGTGCGTCCATTCCTGATTGCTAAATACCCGATCTGCAGCGACAGAGAATGACAGGTGGCGAGACACTGATGAACTTCGGTAGGGTGAAGTACTTATGATCCATCTGGTAAACCCCAGTGGTGGACCAACTGTGCCAGGTGCGTCTGTGTGCATGTTTGCGATTCTGGTCCCAGCTGCTGGTCAGGGTTATGATTGACTGAATGAAAGCAAAATGTGTCCAAAACAGTACTGTATCTACCCGCATTCTCTGTCGTCCTTTCTCTCTCCGACTTCGCCTGGTAGTTGGTTGCCTATTCGTGACCTTTGCCGCCCATACGGGACTTGTTTGCTTCGAGAAGTCAATAGATCGGTGTCCTCGCTGTCAATGGGCATTCCGCACACCGATCTGTCCCATCGGACATCTTCCGACCCCATGCAATATAACCTGACAACCCCACGAGCTGTCCCCACAAACGCCTCCGTCGTCAGATCTGCACCCAACTCTACGAGGTCTACAACGGCAATCACCATAATCGACGATTACGCTCCTGATACCTCGCCGCCGTCCACCACCGCCACTTTCATAATCCCTGCCTAAACCTTCTTGACAGTGACGTCTACCACCATCCCCGCCACCGGTGAGAACACTCCCTAGGTCCCGTCAGCCGTCACCCCCAACACCACAGCCTCAACCGCCAGCAATGTGGATTCGATCTCAACCCGTCCTCATTGTGACCACATCCTCACGCCACGCATCGGGCGTTCGTTTGCGAATCCATTAGACAGACTGGTTAACTAATGCCATGAGGTCCGACATACCCACCACAGGCACGGAATAATCACCCTTCACGTGAGCGTGCTTCTCATCTCCTTTCCCAGGTGGCCTCTGTGAAATCTTAGTTGGGAATCCCTTTGTGGAACCTGTGCGCCGCGCGCAGGGGGAGGGGGCTCCTGACGGAGGAGTGCGGTAGATGCTGTGCAAGCCCGTCGTCATTATAAACTAACTCGTGTGCGAGCAATCGTCCCCTGGCCTGCCATTATCTGGATATCGTCGTTCATAACGGCCAGACTGCCGCATTATTCCCCAGCATTCCCGCGTCTGGCAGCGTCGAGACTGTAAGAGTTCCACTTGATATAAACTACTAATTACCACAAAAGTGACTGTCTTTCATAAGTGCGCACGAGGGTAGCCGGAAACTTGTGGTCTTCAGGTAGGAATTTGATATTATCAGTTTCCTCTAAGGGGACGCCGGTTTGCCACATGGCTGTCAAAGTGTGTTATTGCCGCTATTTTCTGAACGCACTCTCTCTGACCCTGCCAAGAAGCTACTCGGTTGGAATACTGAGCGCGTCAGATCTAATGAAGCATAATTACCCAACGATGCCAAAGAACTTTTAACAGTCGGGTGCGATCGCGGTAAAAGAGTAAATTCTCGACCACAGCTCGAGAGATACGGGAAACTGAAAAGTGACTTCGGTTAGTAACAAACAAGACTCATGAAGAAAGTGCACTTTGTTCACCTGCTTGGCTTAAAAAAACTTCTAGGAAGATAAGCAACCCAATCGATCGGATATATTTAACCAGGCTGAAGGTTAAGATAAACTCGAATGTGTGAAAAAGTTAAACCCGAGTTATTCCGAATTAATAAAGACACCTATACATCTTAATGTAGCGTGGCCAGATCTATCCAGGGTTGCAGGTTTGTCGCCAGGACAGTAGGTACTGCTACATTGGTCCCGTACATGAACGTGTGTAGTAGAAGTTGAAGTCAGGTGATACATTATAAAGTATAAAAGGAATACATAAAAGCAATCTGGCTTTGAAGTAGAACAGATCGCATTCGTCATCTGGCACCCTCATCCTCGGAGTAGTACCGTTCCTCATCCGAATCTTCATCATCGTCGTCATCATCATCATCCGGCTCCTCATACCGTTCACTACCACTCTGTGGAAGGAAAACACAAGGGCTAAGTCGGTTTAAGTCATTAGACGCGAAGGGAGGCTGCGAGTGCGGTCCGGATTACAGAGGAATTTATGAAGCAACTCTTGAACCTTCTCATTATGGCATGTATGCACTTAACACGAGCGAGACTCACATCGGAATATTCCTCATACTTCGCTCCTTGTTCCATAGTGAGCTTTCGGGGTGGAATCCCTGCAGCTCGTTCCGGACGCTGACTGTGCGGCATGCCCTGCATGTAGTCGTAGTCTGAGAGCGCACCGCCCAAAGTTGAAGCAGATCTCGGTTGACCGGGCATGCGAAGGGGCATCTGTTGGGCGTGCTTCGCCGTCAACAGTCCAGGAGCCTGTGTGCCGGGTTGTGGAGGGATCAGTGTTGACGGCGGAGACATACCCTCAATTCTTCGTTTCTAGAACCAAAAAAGAACACTCGAAAATGATTTCTGAACCAGACAGACGCATTAATCAGATAATCCGGAGTTAAATTTCAGCATTCCATTGGAAACAAAATAAGGCACCAGGCGTACCAAAGTCAACCATACAATAGTCGACTAGTCATAAAATTAGTCTGGCGCTGTCCTCACTGTGTGACATCGCGCGGTCGCTTGGATTTTCAGGGCCCTGGGAAGGACCCTAAGGCAGGTTATAGATTTGTGGTCAGGTACCTACCTCCTCGGATAAAACCGAACGCCACTCGGCAGGAATAGATTCCGTGGTCCTAAAAACTATCCGACACCAGTGATATTCATACCTCACATTTAAACAGTGAATCCAAACCCCGTCAGTGGTATCCCAACCCAGAACGGACCATCGTGTCTTAAAAACGAACTCAAGACCTCCAACTACGATTCACTACGGCAGTTCAACCTCACTTATCCACTTCTTAGGTTATGAAGTGAATGGGACCTGCTTGAGGGGGCATATGAAGTACTATGGAAAAACATACGGAGATAATTTAATAACGGCACTGAGATCAACCGCTTTTAGCTAATGTTTGTAAATAGTAAGACTTTGTGGCGAGAATACAGAATTTCCGCTAGCTGGCCCAACCGAAGAGGATGTCTAGAAGTACAATTCCCATTCGGCAGCCTACAGAAATGCACACAGGCTCAAAATACCTATTTGCCAAAGGCAGGCGGTTTGCCAGAATACCCAGTTAGGTAAGTCACTGAAAAGCTGACTGAACATGAATGGAGCCCAACAGTCCACTGCTGTATAAAGGGTAAAAAATCCGCGACTCAATCCTTACAGAAAATGCATACCGATTAAGGGATGTTATGCGAAACGGTTATGAATAAAACCATTAGCAAACTCATGCGTCAACCTACCTTGCCCAAGGGTTCAGACTCTTCATTCCTCTCCGAGAAGGTCTGCTTTCTTCTACCTTTGTCGCTCTGAATAAGGAAAAGATAATGAAGAAGTTCAAAATACAGCAACAGTGGATGTGCGTGGGATCTGGGAGAGATCATCAAGTTCATCCTCCGGCGGCTCGTCCAGACCAGCCTCCTGACGACAGTGCATAGGGAGTCATTAATACAGCAGTACCATGAACGCTTTGTTCCTTATTTTGTGTTTTATTTGTGTCACAGTTTTAGTGTCCAGAACCTCGGCAATTTTAGATAAATCAGCGCCAAAACGCGAGATGGCATCCTTCAATTGCTCAACTTCGGCAATGGTCCATCGGCTGTTAGTTGACTGTGCCTGCTCCGCCTGGGCTTGGTAAATCTTCAAATCAAGCGTGAGTTCGGCTAGCTTTCCGAACGCTAAGGAGGCAAGTTCGAAAATATTGGCAACCTTCTGCGCGTTCGCCATCGGGACCGAGAGTTCGGAAAACCCGCCCCAAGTATTAGCACTTTAAAACTACTTACCCAGACGCGCTCGAAGCACGATCTTGGTTCTACAAGGAAAGAGGGACCGATCTAACATATATTTACAGTAACGGAGGCATGCATATCGAATTCCCGTATAAAAACCCTCGAGTAAGGGCAAAGCTTTCATGAACGAACAAGGTTTTTCAAAGTGAAATATAGGGATTTACCAAATTTTAAAAAGTGATAGTTTAGCACTTCGAAAGCCTAGATCTTTGTAAGCCAATTCTTGGCAATTGAAAATGACGCAAATTTCTGTAGTCCTGTAATCGGATCATGAAGTGCCTACGTTTCGCATTTGAACTCTAGTTTCCCTTTTTCTTATTGGATTCCCCGACATGTCACTTGTTTTTTATAGGTATTGTGTTTCGAATAGCAGCTAGGATATCCATCGCATCCCTTTTTGTCGTGGTGACGAGAAAGAGACTTTGAGTAATTTTCACCTGCATTACTAGAGCAACGATCATCATAAATCCTAACCGATTTTGCAGCTAACCTAATTATACGCCCCGTTTCTGAATATGTTCTTCTTATCTATAGACAGAGGGAAGAGAGAGAGAGAGAGAGAGAGAGAGAGAGAGAGAGTTATTCATCAAACTCCCGAAAAGTATATGAACTAAAATGATCGCTTAGTCATTATTTTACCTCAAATCCTGATTTCAACAGACGAAAAGGAATGTCAGGACCGCGGTTTTCACAATCCAGCGACAGGCTGGCAACACCCCGTTCTCAGTAACTGTGTGGGATTTTGTTCAGTTAGCTATTAGTTGCTGGACTAAACTTAGTGCTTTTTATGAGGCTGGTATTAATTTTTAAAAATATTGTAGCGGGGATTTTGCTGCCTCAGAAGCCCCTAAAAGTGCTGAATACGTTTTTGCCAGATTTTTATTATTGAGAACGAATGTCTGTCTTACGGTTGGGAAGCCTCATATTGCAGTTCAAACACACAGAGTGACTAATGCTTTTATTTTCCGCCCTTGTCAGACCGAGACGCAGGTAACTGCCCGTATATTGTCGAAAAAATTCCGGTTACTTTCTCAGGCCTTTTATTAGTCTCGACTTTCACGGGTTTTCAGCAATCGTTTCGAACTGTTAGCAAGGTTTTGGATGGAATGCTTCTAATACACTCAGTTAGCTCGAATTATACTTCATTTTGTCAAATGTTCTTGCCTGCCCACTGTAAGGACGGCTGGCTAAAATCTGTAAATTAAAAGTCGAAAATATAATTATCTGACAAAATGTAAATCACTTACGTAAATAGAAAATTACGCATTCAAAATGTAGCCATTCATGTAGCACAGACGGGTGGCAGCTGTCTATCCTGTAATGCCTGTATACAATGATCCCTTCTCAATTGTGGTGGTCGCGTTCCATGATCCCTTGCGAAAAGCATGTGCTTGATGGTTATTATATTTCAGGACATTGCGACCGTATATCTTACATCATTTTGGTCCTTTTTAGGATAAAGACCGTGGACTTATTGATGCCGCAATGGCGTCCTGCAGTGGCTTAGCTGTTTTCTTCCTTCAACATATTCAAAACGTTTACCATTTCGGTAATGGTCAGCATCATCCGTTGGCGCTCGGACATGGCCCCGGAGGCAGTAGAAGGAGCAGATCGTTTTTGGAGGCATAAAGAAGGGCCTGAATGTGTACAAAAAGCATAAAGTTAAAACTTTGCACAGCAAGGAACGTTTATGCCGAATGAGCGCAGCGCGATACTGTCTAAATCAAAGGGGCATCAAACACTGCTCTCCTTCGGAGAGTCAGTCCGCGCCCAGGATAATAAGCCGTGGGCTCTGTTTTAGCAGTTTTTCAGCCATCTGCCAATAGCATCCTGTGTATGAAATCAATTGAAAAAATCAACTAAGGAATCATGTACCAAAGATAAGAAGGGTCATTGTCCGCAAAAATCCGCTATCCATGTCTAGATATGCTTGCTTTAAAAGTCCGCGCTAAAGTGATACCGCCAAAATGGCATTGCGATACAGCGAGGAACTTCTGCAAATTGTATACATTAAATTTGTAGCCAAAGTTTACATACTGAACACATAAAGATCCCCAGAACGTGACTGACGAAGGCCCTTCCTATGATATTGACTACTTTTGATCAGAACTGACAGGACAGCTGGGCTGTGGTTCATTGAAAGAGCTTTAGATTTACGGCTCAGCTATCGAAGAATCCGAGTTCGAATCCCAAGTTCATGCACAAGCCCGGGGTTGGGTGTGGCTGGCCGATGGCAGTTTAGTATTCAGAAATGGCCATTCCAATCTCTTTTGTCTTTGTCGGCACGCTTTCCTGATTGTAAATCACGCCTCATGCTACGGTTTCTGTGGAAACTTGAACCTACGATCTTCTAACCGTTAGCCGGATAATTAGCAATCAAGTTAGCCTATTCGAAAGGTACTAAGAACTGGCTGACACATGCTGGAACGTCGGACATCTTATTCCACCGGCAACGCAAAGTCTCAGCACGCAAGCGACGTTGCAGCGCGATTGATACGTCGGTAAATGGGCTCTCACTAATCGTGTTACAGAACTAAATCGTTCCGTTGTGCCTTGGGGCTCTCTTTCAAGTCCTGCCAGCAGCCGCACAGATGCGCGTAATACAAACAGAATGGTATTACCGACAAATGGCCATTTCTGGCCTGTTAGCCGCCGTCATCCAGCAGTACCAAGCCCGACGTGTGCAGCCCCTGGGGCTCGATCCCGCGACCTGTTTGTCACAAGTCTAATGCACTGACCACTGAACCACATGCTCGTTGTCCTGTCGGTTATGATCGGTGAGCGGCCCTCTACTAATTTAACCACTCCACCACGATGACAGGTGATAACCACATACGAGGCTTTCCAGCTGGAGACAAAAGACTGAACTGAAGCATACTGTAAAGAGTACTCCCGGGAGCTGCTAGCCAAAAACAAGCGTTGTCGCAGGAATTGGATTTGTGGCGAGACGATCTGAGTGATCGAGAACGCGGGGAGTGCCCGCCTTGGGTCTGGTCCAAAATTCAGAGACCCACACTATGCCGCAACGCGCTCCGAATGACACGATCGCAACGAAATCTGGAATTAAACCCCTAGATATCTCGAAAGCACCCAAACTAATTGAGATACATGGAGGTTGTATGGGATTCTGCTGATGAGACAGCCTTCTCGTTAGTGTGTTTTGACCATCACCACCGAAGCATCTTTGGTGACATTACGTATGACGAAGTCGGCACGCACTGACAGCAGGTCAGTGTCCGAGATAGGCTCATACTGTCTGATTTGACTATTTTTCCAATAAAATGCGACAACTTTCTTTATGGACAATTTCTAACCTGTCTGCGGGATTGGACGGATAGACAGTGAATCGTGATCACAAGATTATGATGACTTCTGGAATATTTCTGATTTGGTTTAACATATTAAAGACCTATCAGTACAGTTTTTTTCTACTCACCCCAATTGTCGAAAGCTGCCATTAACGGGAGAGAGGGTTAGTAAATTAGAAAAAGGAAAATTAGAAACTAGTCACATCTGCAGGCGTTCCTTTAACTGCGGATCACTGTCAGAAATGGCTGTCCAGGTTCCGTTGTCTTTGTCCGGAGTCGCCTACAGAACTCTAGATCGAACCGAAAAATTCCAACGGAATAAGTATGTCCGGTAACGCAATCGGTGAGAGCCGCCGCAGTGTGTTAATTTGGAGAAAATTTATTTGTAGACAGCTAATTTCAAGTGCCGAACGGGCACTTTCTGTCGTACTGGATGAGTTCTTTAGCGTCTTTTGACCTTCGAGCGATTGAAACTCTAGGCTCTTGTGGCAATTTGTTTGGTACGTCCAAGGAATAAGTGGAGTAGGCAGCATACGCTGCACCTCTTTCAAGTTCTAGATATGAGTGGTGTCCAAGGCCCGTAATTTGAATGGAATCGCGTTTTATAGAAGATAAATGCTGTCCCATAGATAGCAGTTAACTCTTGGATGAAACTTACAAATTCTACTGGAAATTATCAGGGAAAGTGTTACAGTGTTGAGTTCACCCCAGACAACCGTCTCAGAAATCAATACCTGAACCTAATGTTAGATTTACGGGGCAGGTCTTTTCACCTTCAACCCCAAAGGGCATTTATACCAGAAAAAACATGAAAAACTCTGGGAGGCCCACTTTAGTAACAAACCCCTAGCAGCTACGTCATGCGGCGGCAAAAAAATCGGCTATAAACATGCCTGCAGCTCTAGTTAGTATTCGTGCTGGGACAATGATAAGTCAGCAAAAATGTTTATCTCGGAAACTTTACGGTCATATTGATTTTTAGGCGAACCCGAAAACAAACTGTCGAAATACTTGTTTATCATCAAGATCCAACTTCTAGAAACGTCAAAAAAGCGTTGCCCTCGGGAAACCCCAGCAATACCTTTGTTTTCTTTTCTGAAGAACACCTCACCTACATGCTGAGACTGCTTAAAAAATTTCGGTAATTAGTTATCTCCAGTGATTCCATCATCACCACGAACAGAAGTTTCTAACTTTAACTCATAGGTGCCACTCAAAAAAAAGAACTTGCCCTAATCGGCAATGATTACTCTCCGCCACTGTCTTTTAACATTTCCCATAATTCTGTGGCACCAGAGTTTCCATGTCCAGGATTTCCATCCCAATCCAAATCATTTCCGATGTTAGAAGCTGGTTTCAACAGGTTCCTCCGACTTGACAGTTATATGAACCAATGGATTTGACTCAACACTTTTTAAGCTGCTGTGATACTTGTCGATGAGGACTGATGAACTTTACCGATCAGCTCCTACTGGTCATACGGGACAGGCGACTACCGACCTTTTGCTCATGACTATTTTGCCGCAGAACCGGTGCTACGTGGAATTAGCTGTGTATCCGAAGAGCTTCACTTCCCAATCTCCGGCGACACCACTGATGACTAGGACAACTGTTTGTCATGCTTGAGTAA